CTGTCTCCTCTTACTTGGGCTCGCTTCAACACCCAATAGGATTCACACTCTTTTCCTTTGCCGTGATTAGATTTTAAAAGCGGCCTTCTTCAAGTGGTGATGAAAGGGCCGAGCAGCCACACACACTCTGAAATCTCACAGAAATCACTGGGAACCGAAGATCACCCAACCTGAAAATCTGCGGGTGAGGGAGAAAGTCAGAAGGGAGAGGAGAGAGAGAGAGGAGACGAGTAAGGGGTGGGGGCAAGAGAAAATGGAGAGGCTACTTTAAACTAGAAGGGAGAGGAGCAGCTAAGGACAGAATGAAGGAGAGGGAAGGGAGGTTGAGAGATAGGAGGGCGAGGAGGGTAAGGATGGAGAGAGGGAGGAGAGAAAACGGAGGTCACTTTGAACCACAGGCCAGACAGACAGGTAAGGTGAGGATGCAGGAGAGAAACGGAGAGGAAAGGGGAGGGAGGGGAAGCAGAGGGGCGAGGTCAGGCTAAACTAGGGAAGTATTTGAATTCAGTGTTTTCAAGAAATGCAGTGTTTCTCCTACTCAGGCGCTTCTTCTCATTTACCCAAAACACAGGTCCTGACCAGGCACCCGACCAAGTGCAGTCTGGTCCTGTGAGCGTCGCTGAGCCGGCCCCAAGCTGCCCCCAGCTCGGAGGCAGGGGCCAGCCTGTAAGCAGGCATTCACGACAGGCGGTCAGGGCAGTGACGGCAGCAGGTGTTAAGTTCCCAAGAGAACCTCTCACCAAGCCTGGGGACCACACCAGCTTCCCCGAGGAGAACCCATCTGCTCTTCGAGCTGAGGAGTAAGCAGGAGGTACCAGCGCAGAGAGTGAGCTATGAAAGAACCCGGCAGAGGAGCCAAGTGAGAGCACAGGGCAGTTACAGACCATCAGGCAAGCAAATGCCCCCGCTGGGTGGAGGTGCGAGGATGGACAACAGATTGGGATGGAAAAGAAAATGGGAACCGGATTAACCAGGGTCTGTGTGCTGGGTTAAGGGTTTGGGACTTAGGTCTTAAAGGGTCATCTTCAACATGGGAGTATTATAATCATCTACACCTTTGTAAAAGGTCATCCTGAAAGAAAAAAACCTGCAGACAAATGAACTCCAATTAATGAGATGCATGCTCGAACGATTTAGGAGGAAGTATGCAGATGTCTGTGAGGTACTTTGAAATGTGTAAGAAATAAGATTGGTAGATGATGGGGGCAGGATGGTTGGGTAGATCTGTGGCAAAGCAAATAAGAGGAAACTAATAACTGCAAAATCTTAGTGGGTAGGCATATGGGGGTTCCTTGAAAAAGTCACCTTTCCTTATGCTGGAGATTTCTCATAATAAGATCCTGGGAAATTAGATCATACTGACTGCCGCTTGGATAAAGCTTTGGAAATGGGCAAGGGGGGCAGTGGGGGTGGCGGCGGGGAAGGGGTGTTGTAATAATTGAGGCAAGAAATGACACGGCCCAGACAGCAGGGAGAGAAACAGGGATTAAAGAATTTGAATTCCAGAGAGGTTTATAAAGTTCAACTGACCACTCTGGTGATGCTCATAAGACCCACTAGGAACTCCCAACCACCGTTGTCCGCTCCAGCCAGCTCCCGCCTGCAGGTTCTCGCCAGGAGATCCCCGGCGCCCGCTCTTGGCTTTCTGAGTCTGTTCTCTGAACTCCGAGCTGCAGCACCTTGGGCGACCTTGTGCGCAGGGAGAGGGTCATTACTACCGCCGGCCCGGTGCCTGGTCCTAAACCGGGGCGCCCCGCTGCTCCTTCCGCTGGTCGGCCCGCCTCCCCCTCCCTCAGAACCCTCTGAACGCCCCCTCGAGCTCTGCTCTTGCCAATTTAGCTGTTTCCTTCTTCTTTTTTTAAAGAACAAAATTGTTTATGATCAGCAGTTTGAAATGGCTTCCTCTACCGCCAGCTCGGGGTTATCAGCTCTCAGAAAACCTCTCTCTCTCTGGAAGACTCCATCACAATCAGGCAAAAATGAGTTTTCCTCAGGGGCTGCAAACTGCCTTTCTCGTGCACAGACGTCGGCCCGCGGGCTCGGAGGCGGCTCCGGAATCCCTCCCCCGCACCTGCTCGGGCTGTAATTTTAGCTCATTTCCTACAGCCTTGTCCCTGGGACGCCGGCACATCCCTCCTCGCCCTCCTCCCTCCGCGTGAAGGATGTTTACCAGTGGACTTGTTTTCCATGTCAGTGATGTTTCTGCGCTTCATTGCTGGGTTCCTGTCCCTGCCGTGTGCACAGCCGCCTGAAACTTAACGTTAAACCCAAACTCTCTTACCTCGTCCAGCTTTAGGGCCTCTGGGGTATTTGTGAGGCCGTGAGAAGGGACACACATACATGCTCTTTCCCAGCTGAGCAGATGCGGTGGGGAGAGACCCTGCGCTGCAGAGACGCCCTGACCATTTGGTACCAAAGCCTAAGAAAGGAAACTCCTGTCTGCTGAAGGCAGGAATGGCGGAGTGGCTGGGGGGAGACTAGACTATCATCATCGCTCTTCTCAGATAAAGTCCACAAGTGTCTCCGGACACACAATCTGATTACAGCATTTGACTTTCATTTTTTAAAACAGTCTTAACTTGAGACCCTTTCAATCCTGGAGGCCTCCCCCGCCCCCCTTATCTGGTCCTCATGCATCGGATATGGAGTGGTGCCTACCTGAGTTCAGATCCTAGCATGGCCGGCCAGTCCCCAGCTGAGCTGTTTCCCTAGAGTTAAAACCTGGAGGGTGGGCATTCCTGAGGTCACGTGATGAGTAAGCCAGGCCCTAATCAGGAAGCCCCAGCCCAGCACCTAGGTCCTCCAATGGGCTCAGAATTCTGTGGCTGGGGTGAGCCAGGTGTGGAGAATGTAGTTTTCTGGCATGATGAGTAATTCACGTCTGCACATCACCTGTGTGCCTGAATCAACACAGTGTGCTTTCTTTGCTTCAGTGCTTTTAAATGCTTCTAAATGCTTGTACTGTTGTGTTTCCATTTTCTGTGTGTTGATAAAATGCCAGGGATTTTGGCTACTTCTCCTTTGGAGAGGAAACTTGTTACAAGAAACAGGCAAAAAATGGACTCCTTTTCCAGTGCTTTCATCATCCTTGGGGCTCTCCTAAGAGTCCTGGCCACGTCTCCGACCTCTCCTCCTTCATCACTGCCGAGGGCACTTGCAGAATCTCCCACAGGACAGAAGTCTCTGCCTGTAGCCGTTTCCTGGGTTTGGAGGGACTTCTCCAGGTTTGTTTGCCTTGGCTTTGGACATTCAAATTCTTCGGTGTCCGAGCCCCATTTCATCTCTGCATAGCTGGGCTGCTGGGTCTCCCCTCCAGCAGGAAGCTTAGCACCTGTGGGCTGAGAGAGGACACTGACTGTTGTTCAGCCAATGTCCCAGGTCGTCCATCACAGGTAACTGAGCTGATGAAGGGACAGGCAGAGCTTTGGAACAGGGCTGAGAAAGGCTTTGTAGGAGAAAAGGATAAAAATTAAAACCATTTAGACTTACCGTGTGCCAAGCTCCACGCCAAGTCGTTTTCAAAAACTTTCTCTTTTCTTTTCTCCAATGATCCCATTAGAACAGCCCTTTCTACAGACAGAGAAACTGACACTTAGAGAATTTAAGTCATCTTCTAAGGTCGTGCAGCTAGCAATCACCAGATCTGGCTGCAGGGCCCGGAATCTCACCACCGACGTGGTCGGCTTCTCTAGGAAAGTGAAACCCTCCTGCCTCCACCCACAGGAGACCCCTCCACTTAGGTAAGATGGATGCTGTTTAACTGGAACCACCTGGAGCCCTCCTCCCGCCCCTGGACCCAGTAGGAAGCGGAGGGATAATAAATGGGCGGGATCGCAGACATCTCCGCAGCCTCTCAATCTTGAGAAGCGGGAGAGCTGGGCTCCTGCTTTGAAAGTGAGTGTAAAGAAAATGCTCGAAGGAGCAGCATCTTTCCTCTTTCTACCTGATTTGTAAAATACCCCAGGGCCGCATCTGTGTTTGAAACTGGTGCTGGGGAGAGAGCAGCCTTACATATGGACTTGAGGGTGGGCTCAGAAGCTGGGACTGGGGTCTCCACCCCCTGATGTTTGAAGCTCTAAACTTGAGCTGGGCCACAGGTTTTTAGTTTCTCTGTGATGGCTCCACAGCCGGTTCCTGCAAGGCCTGGGGGCCTGGGCGCCTGGAGCCTGGGCTCGGCTGGGGGTGCCCTGTTTCCCAAGGGGTTGGTGCTTGAGGCAGGACGTGCTTCTGCCCTCTGTTTCTCTTTCCACTGTCTCCCTTTATGAGAACTCCCCGGGACAGAGTTGGAAACAGCGCACAACAGACACCAAGGGAAAAGCCAGCCTCCTCGTTCCTGCCTTGGAGATCCGGCTTTGGGTGTGGAAGACAGCTGACTCACTCCCGGCACGCCCCTGGCTCTGAGATGCTAAGAAGGCCGCTGGCCCCCTGCTTGCCCCAGCCTCGTGCTCAGGCTGGGCCTGAGATGAGCTGAGGCTGGTGGAGGCTCTCAGGGAAAGGACTCGGCCAGAGGGAACTGGGGAGGCAACCAGCTGCTTGAGGAGCTGTGGGCCCTGCGTGGACCCCCCAGAGGGGCCGGAGTTAGGGTTGGGTAAGGCCCTGTGTAGAGTCTGGTTACTGAGCGTCTGTTTAGTTACTCACCCAGGTTCAAAGCTCTGAATTCCCAGCCCATGTATCATGGAGATAGAAAGGCTGCCTCTGAGGAGAAGGGCCAGGAAAAGTTCCCCCGGGAAAGCTGGAACCATTTTACCCCCGACCCTCCCTCACCTCGGGACTGGTCTCCTCCCCGCCCTGTCCTCAGTTTCTGCATCTGTATGTCACTGGGGATGAGCGGCAGGCCTTACCAGATGTTTCATGCTGCTGCCTCAGATAACGGTCCTAGAAGCAGCCAGAGGCTCACGGTGCTTGAGGGGGGCTTGGAGTCCATGCCTGCTCCGGGGATGACGCAGGGAGTGAGCTGACGTGTCCTCTCTGTCACTTCAGCAGGCCATGAGGTGGTGGCGGCAGCTTCTGCTGTGGCTGTGGGCGGTCCCGCCCACGTGGGCCGGGCACGCGCGGCTCAATGTCTGCGTGAACTCCAGGCCCCACAAGCGAGAGCCTGGCCCTGAGGACAAGCTCTACGAGGAGGTATGGAGGCAGACCTGGTGTGGGGGAGGGGGGGCTGCGTCCACAGATCGAGGAAGGAACACAAAGGCCAAGATGGTATCTGAACCTGATCAACCCTGACCCACTCAGTTCCCTAGGCTAGGATTTGGGCAAAGGCCACTGGGTGGGGACTATGATCTGAGACCATAATCGCTGAGTGATTCGAAGTTTCCATCCCTGAGCTGCCCAGCCACTGAGGGAGCAGATGGGGGTCCTGGAGGCCCGTCAGTTTCAGCCTAAATTCCAACAAGCCAGGTCCCCTCCTCTGCCCTGCCACCAACAGCTCCTGGGGAAACATGAGACTTAAGGACCTGTCCCCCAGCTTCTAAAGGCAATTGGCAGTGACGAGGGAGGAGGAGCAGAGCTGGCATGTATACCTGAGCCCTTCTCAGCTGCGGGTGCTCTCCCCCACTGCAACCCCACATTCCCTGAGTTTCATGGGGCTTCCCTGCTGCCCCTCAGGTGCTGAGACCCTGGAAGCCCTGTTCTGGGGGACTGCTCAGCTTGTGGCAGGGAGACCGGTGCGCAGGTGCCCTTTGGGTGTGAATGTTGACAAATGACCGACATTCCTTCCATCCAGCGGTTGCTAGCCTATGTGCATCCCGCTGACCCAGGACTTCTTCTCGGGGACGTTTTTCCCTTTCTAGCCTAGACACTCATCAGCCCCCTGCCCTTACTCCTATGCCTTCGGCTTCTTCCTTTGCCTTCAGTGCCGCCCCTGGAAGGACAATGCCTGCTGCACGGCCACCACAAGCTGGGAAGCCCACCTGGATGTGTCCCTGCTCTACAACTTCAGCTTGGTTCACTGCGGGTTGCTGATGCCGGACTGTGAGAAGCATTTCCTCCAGGCCATCTGCTTCTACGAGTGTTCCCCCAACCTGGGGCCCTGGATCCAGCAGGTGCGAAGAAGTGGGCAGGTGAGGGGAGGAGGCACGTTCATCAACGCCCTGTTCCAGAGTCTGAGCTCCAGGATGCTAGCGCGGACAGGAGGTGCTGTCCCCCTCCAGACAAGAGCAGAGTCAGAGGCCGCTGCTGGGGAAAAGGGATGGAGAGGAAGCCGCCCCGGCCCTGGAGAACGGCATGGGAGGGAGAGTGGTCACGTGAGAACAGTAGGATGAAGGGGTTATTTAAGTCACGTCTTCTGTTGGCAGGAACAGAGCTAGGTGCAAACCCGCCCTTAGCCTCATTGTTCTCATTTGTAAAATAACACTTAGTGACTTGATAAGAGAGATGTTCAGATGGTACCTGACCCAAGGCCCAGGGCAGCTATTGAGAGTCTTCAAATCGCTGCGTGAGTAATCTTGCCTCTTACTCTGCCTGCACCCAGGTGGACCCGAGGGGGCAGGGAGAGCGGATCCTGGACGTGCCCCTCTGTTGGGAAGACTG